AATAGAGCTAACTGTAAAACAGCTTCAGGCGGCCCCTCAGGAGGGATTCCAGAAAGTACTGTTATCAGAGGGTGACGGCTCCATGTGTGTTACTGCTCCTGAAGATATTCCAGTGCAACAAGATGTGGAGGTGGAACAGAGTGACAATGGTGATCCTGACCCTTGTGTAGGCCTAGGCTATTCTGTGTGTCTGTGTCTTAGTTTTTAATCAAAATAGTTTAAAAAGTAAAGTAAATAAATATTAAGAGAAACAGATAAAAGTTTTTGTAACAAGGGTAACAAAATATCTTTGTATAGATGTACAATTTATTTCCTTTGTTTGTTTGAGACAGGGTCTCACTATTTAGTTCAAGTTGGCCATGAACTCACTATGTAGCCCAGGCTGGTCTTGAACTCCCAGCAATCCTCCTGCCTCAGCCTCCTGAGTTGTGGGATAACAGATATGTGGCACCATACCCAGCTTAATTTTAAGCTAAATGTTATTACAGAAGAATCAAAGAGTTTAAAAATGTTAGAGTAAGTTAATGCTTATCATTAAAGGATTTTCAAAATAAACACAGGATAGTCTGATTAATAGTGTTTATAGTATACAGTAGTGCACAGTAACATCCTAGGTCTTCATATTTATTCTCCACTCAGTCACTTACTAAATCAAAGTAATTTCCAGCTGAAAGTTCATTTACAATAAGTGCCCTATGCAGGATAACTTTTTAAAAATCTTAGAGTGTATTTTTATTTCGTTTTTTCTGTGTTGAGCTACATATAGACAAACACCGCTGTGTTACAATAGCCTACCATAGTCAATATAGTAACATGCTATATAAGTTTGTAGCCTAGAAGAAACAGGCTATACCCTAGGCTACATCATCTATGTTTAAGTATACTATATATTTGCACAAAGACAAAATTACCGTATGATACATTTCTCAGGCTGTGTCCCCAATAACTGACAAGACTGTTTATAAATGACACATACACATCTCCTAGAAAAACAGAAATGTGTATTTTCTAAAGGATAACACATATTTTTATTGCAGTACATACTGTTTACACACACACACACACACACACACACACACACACACACACACACACACACAAAGCAAAATTATCTGCTTGCTATCGTGAAATTCCAGGGAAAAGAGTTGATTAGTAAAAGGAATCCTTGTACAAGTCCTCAAAGAACCTTTATAGGACGAAGAGAGGGAGGAAAGTGTGTGTGGGCTAAGAAAGAAATTAAGATGTGTTACGTATATGTATCAACTCCACACAAGAATGTAAACATCATTTACTGCAAACAACACTCACACAAAAAATTTTTAAAGGCAATATGCAAAATAACACCCCCCAAATAATCCAAATTTTAGTCACTCAGTGACTGGGGATATAGCTTAATGGTTGAGTACTTGCCTAGCTTGCATGAGGCCCCAGTTTGATCCCTGGCAACCCCCCAAAAAAGTCAAACTATAAAAAGAACTAATCCACGAGAAGAATATAAGCTATCAAAACAAAATTTATAAAACCAAAAGAAAATTGATTATTTTATTCACACTGTAATTAACTTTTTACAACTTTATAAACTCAGTCCTGAATGGAAATAAAGATAATTTTCCACTAGAGGAAAGGAATTTAAATGGCATCAAAACAACTAAACAAATGAAATGATTTCTCTTTGTTTCTGGTTGACTCAAGTCATTTGTCAAATTATTTATTTAAAAATACTCTTTGAAGACATGCAGTATTTCTACAATGATCTGATAAAGACTCAAACTTCTAGAATATCTATTTCTAAAAAGACATGATTTAGCTGTTAGCTACTTCTTTCAAAAACCTTTTTTTGGCTTAGTCCCAAGTGAGCTTTATACATTAACTGTGTGAGGTCCATCTGTACAGTCATTCACATACACATGAATTCTACATTTTTAAAGGCTAAGTTTACAGTGAGGATTATCTACTTCAAGTATATATGCAAATACAAATAAATAAATTAAAACTTGTAAAGAAGGAGAGGAAGAAGAGTTGAAGGCAGGGGAGGGGAATGGGGGAAAAAAAGAAGAATCAAGATGTATTATGTACAGGTATAAATTCCTTGTGATGAATGTGATTGTTATATATATCAAAAGCGTACAAATAAAATTAATTTAAAAAATAAACTTAGAACACAGATCCTAGCTTGGGCTCTAGGAAATGAGTCAATTGTATATTAAACTTTATATATCTCTCACAAAAGAAAAATATCTACTAGATTTTTATTTTTGCCATTGTTGTCCAGTCCTAGTAGTTTCTCTAAAATTAAAGCTAAGATGGCAATAAGATATCCTCCCACAGAACAATGGATCAAAATATGAGGACTTTCCTTAGGAAATTCCCATTTCTCTTTCTTCACTCTTTTGAGGGTTCAACTCCTATCTAAACTAACCTCCCTGTGAGAGTACAGTAGAAGCACACTTTAAGATTATTATATTCACCCTGTGTGCTCTCCATGGACATGCCTGGTTTTCATAGTTATTGCAGGAAGTATTATTTTAATAAGCAAAGAAAAAAACCTGGAAGAATATGGTTTATATAAGAGTAAAAAGATTAAAATTATTTATTTTTCAAAGAGGCTGAATTTATTAGCTAAATTATTATATAACAAGACATTCAAATGTGTTTAGAGCTCAGTGTCATGCATCTTGCTTCACAGGGTTGGTTAGTGGAAGGGTATATGAAACAACATAAATAACATTTACTGGACCACTTTATAAAATACATTTCTGAATTATATCCTTAAAACATAAACTGAGAATACAGAAAATCATGCCAGGTTTAAAGTATTCTATTAAACAAAGAAAAAGAGGGATATATGTAAGCACAAATCTTACATCTATTAAGAGCCAGATTTCCTATACAAAGACATACACTAGCTTAATAAAAAAATCATGCGTCTAGTGATGCGACTAGCCAAAGACCACATCATTATTCAATGATTGAAAAAAAATTTTAAATGAAGAAAGAAGTCCATAAGATAGGAGAAAATATTTGCAAATCAAATCTGATAAAGGACTTACATCCAGAACACATAGATAACCTAATTTTAAAATGGGCAAAGGATTTAAATAGACATTTCTCAGCAGAAGATATACAAATGGCCAATAAGCACATGAAAAATGCTCAGTATCATTAATCATTAGGATAATGCAAATTACAACTGTAATATTTAACACACCCAATTGTGTAGTTATAAGTTTTTAAACATGGAAAATAATTTGATTACAATGTGGAAAAACAGGAACCTTACACATTACTAGTTAGACTGTCAAATGGTGGAACTGCTTTGGAAAACAGTCTGACACCTCTTCAAAGAATTAACCAGAGTTCCGATAGGACCCAGCAATTCCACTCCTAGGTAGTCTCCAGAGCAAGATAAAAATACATACTATCACAAAAACTTGCGTACAAATGTTCATAGAAACATTGCAATAGATAAAAACTGAAACAACCCAATTGTCCATCAGTCGATGAAATGAAAAATAAAATACAGCATATACATACATTAAAATACTATTTGTCAATAAAAAGGAAAGAAATGCTATAACATGGGTTGACCCTGAAAAGACACTAAATGCAAGAAAGTGGTCACAAAAGTTTACATAATATGACTCCACTTATATGAAATGTATGAAATAAATAGAGACAGAGAGTAGATTAGTGGCTGCCAAAACCTGGGGAGAGGGGAACAGTACCACTAATGAGTGTAGGGTTTCTTTATGGAATGATGAAAATGTTCTGCATTGATAAAGGCAATGGCTGCACAATTCTGTGAATATACCAAAAACCACCAACTTTATACTTTAAGAGTGGAATTTATAGTATATGAATTATACTTCAATAAAGCTGTTATTTATTTATTTATTTATTTATTTATTTATTTATTTATTTATTTATTTGGTACTGGGGATCGAACTCAGGTCCTTGCATTTGCAAAGCAGGCGCCAGAACACTGAGCTAAATCCCCAGCCTAAAGCTATTATTTTAAAAAGAAAAATTAATACACAGAAAGTGATAATTTTAGATCAAGATATGAATATTTTTAGTGTATATTTTCTACACTATTTTATAGTCATATGCATCATCATGACCATGCTAGAAAAATAATTTAAAAGTTCCCTTTAGGGATCTTAAGGAAGGTTGATGCTGAATTGAAAAGTCACATTTCTAAAGATTTTTAAATTTTATTTATTCATTTATTTATTTATTGGTACCGGGGATAGAACTCGCGTCCTTGCATTTGTGAGGCAGGCAGTGGAACCACTGAGCTAAATCCCCAGCCCAAATTTATTGTTGGAATTAAAGACATTCAAATGTTAGAATTACAGGTGTGTACACTTATCCAATTATTCCACCCTCTTCTCAACCTATTCCAGGCAGGATGGCGTATTCCAAAAATTCCAATTACTTAATTCTTTTAAAATTTGAGAGAAAAGATCAAATTCTTCTTTTGAAAATGTTTGTTGCTTTCAAAATAAAATCTTGTTTTGAACCAGCACACCTACTAAATGTAGCAACATGAAAATGTTTCAGATAAATAAATATGCAAAATTAGATCTACTGACAGTATATGTCTTACCTAACATCATTTGTCTTCCAAGAGAAACTAAATATATCTTGCTTTGATGGGAAAGCATTTTAAAAGACAAACTTTCAGAAGTAACTTTACTACAAAAAATACTGCTTAAGGTCAGATATCAATCTTAAATCTAGTTATGCAGCACCAACAGCATAATCTTATACCTGTCTTCTCAGCCCTGAGGTCTACCAACAGAATAGGTGGCCTTAACTCAGTTGAATTTCTTTTAGATTGTCACCTAGATGTAATGTATTTCATTACTCCTATCTTTCTGAGAATGAAAGAAGACAGAATCCTAGCAAACTGAATCAATGGTTTTAGAAGTGTTGACGGCGCAGAATTCTCAGATGTTGTGTAGATGAGGGACTTGTGGTCACCTCACATGCCATACCTGGTATGCACTGTGCTGTGGCTTCAGTTGTTATGGTTGGAGCGACTGGAGGCTGCTGCTGACTGGAGCTCACTTCTGGCTCTGTGTTCACTGAAGGAGAAAGGGATACCTCACAGGAAGAGACCTGGCTGGGCAGATGGGATAGGAACTCTTCAGAAGCAACTTGCTCATCCTGTCCAGGCAGCTGCAGGGCAGACAAAGGAATACTGATCTGTTTGTTTGGATGGGATGTGCTCACAGGCATCTGCATGGCTGCCTGCTGGTTGGTACCATGGGCACCAGGGGGTCCTCTGTTCGGTGAAGCCAGAGATACCCTAGCAGTCTTTGGGATGATTGGTCTGGAGATCACAGAGGGGGATGCAGACATACCATGTGGGTCTAGCTCCGTGCTGATGGCAGACGTTACATGGGGAATCAGCTTAGCAGATCCTATACAGGAGGGACCCGCATGTGTCTGAGGCTTGGGTTTTGCCATCTGTGTCAAGGATAGAGCTGGTCCATCTACCCCTCCTGTGAGCTCTGCATTTGCTACAATGTAGTAATCTTCTGGAATCTCCTGCTTGATTTTCTTGATGATGACATCATTGCTGCATTCATCCACCATCTGCACCTGGGAGCCTGAATGAAGGGAAGATGGGACTATTCCTGGCCTTTTGCGAGTGATGCTTTGAGGCCTTTGGGATTGGGGTTCAAAGTCACTATCCTCATCTGTAACAGAAGATTCACAAACCATGTCAAACAGCGTGTTTTCATCTTCATATTCTTCTACAGCTTCATCTAGTTCAGAGGGCTCACTGCAATAAGAGAAGTCACAAGAGTCTCTGGTCCGGTTACAGTCTAGTTTTGCTTTTACTGGTCTCCCAGGGTACCTTTCACCAGGGCTAGTCTGTGTCTCAGAAGGCACCCCAATTATACTGGGACTATCAGAGTTAAAACTCCTGTTGTCTTGGAAACAGACCCTCTCTTGGGATCCAGCTCTGCAGGTAGCTGTTAGCGGCCAGTGGTAGGCATGGCCAGCACTACAGCCCCACATTGCTGTCAGGTTCCCATGGGAACCTTCGGAAAGTAAGTGTTTCAGGTTTGGAATGAGGCTGCAAATGGTTCCATGACTGTGGGCCCAGCTGACCAATTTGGACAGATTCTCAGATGAGGTATGAAGACAATCCTCCATGTTACAGGATCAGCAGTGTCTTTCCTAAAAAGAAATAATCAAAATAAGAAGCCATTATTACCCAAAATATTCACATATCTCAATTACTTTAATTTCTTTCAACTATTACCATTAGGCATTAAAAATATACTTCAAAACTATACCTAGTTAATGTATCATATAGTCAGAGACTGGAAGGTCTATATGATAGATTAACTAGGTATGGAATTTGGAGAAGATCTGTGTTAGTTTTGTTTTGTGTTATAGAAATGCCTGAGCAGGAAAGAAAAAGAAAAAAAGACAAACAATGAAAAACAGGTGAGACAAAGGTTCAGTCAGCCCCTCAATAATGAATTGTGTGTTGTATTAACCAAGAAGATGCACTTCCAATGTCACTCTCTCGTAAACTTTACTACTAGAGGCACAGCCACAAAAGGTTTAGATCCACTCTAGGACGGATGTTAAAGAAGGAAAAGTCAAACTTGAGCCAGGCAAGAAAAGAAGATAACTGAGAATCTAAGGAGAATAAGAGTAAACTTAGGAAGTAGTGAAGAAGCCTTTAGCAGTGAAGGGAGAACAAACTTGGAGGAGACAGGATGTGGATCAGAAGCAAGGATGAAGAGACCAGGGTCAGGGCTCTATCCACTCCTAGGAGCAGGCTTCTCACTCCTGGCTGTCTGAAATACCTGAAATACTGTATTTGACCCCACAATTATAGGTAAAGGTTGTATCTAATGTATTCCATCATCTCAGAGTCCCATAAACCCAAGGATAAGCAACTACCCAACAGGAGTAAACCATTCCTTACTGGGCAGGAGTAAGGATCACTTCTTATGAGTTCTTGCTTGCTAACAGTGAGGACAACACAATGGTCGGGAAAACTGAAAGGGGGCATGTGGAGTCTGTTAGTAGGATGGTTAACAAGACTCTGCGAAGAGCAAGCTACTGGTGAGCTGGGCAGAGAGGTACAAGAATCTTTGTGCTTTAATCTGCCTTGATCATCTGCAGCTATTGGACAAGAGGTGTCTTTGTGGAGGAGGGCCTGCACTAAAGAACCAAGGTAAATGCAATGCTAGATGGCTATACCAAAACGAACATCTGGGACTCACCCCCCCGCCCACCATGGCTCTCCATCAGTGACCTTTTAGGTAAGTTCAGATCCTTTAATGTATTACTGAGGTCTCTGGGGTGTGGCCACAGCTACCTCTCAAGCCTCACTTCCTACTATCAGAGCCTTCCATACTTCTGTGGGCCCCTGTTTCTAAATAGTTTCTCAACCCCACTGGGCCTCTAACACCTCCTTTTTGGCTTGATATGTAGCCCTTCTCTTTTCTCACCTGGGAATCTCCTTCAAGACATCCAGGTGAAGTCTTTCTAAATCCATTTTCAGGCTCTAAGGTTTACTTAGTTTTCCTTCATCTGTGCCTCCATTATATCTAGAGGAATTTACCTTTGCAGTGCTATGATTATGGACTTTCTTATCTGTCTTCCAGACTTAGTGAGGACTCTCTGAGGACAAGGGCTATGACTTAATCATTCATCATGATGACTTACTTGAGGGCACAAAATGAGTAAGTCATGGTCCTGCTTTTGAGACACTGTAATCTGTCTGGCATATAGTTGATGCTGAAGAATGGATGAATATATAAATACCACAAGCACTATTAACAGTAACAAAGCAAATGTGTAGAACCCTCAAATAAGAAATACGAAACCTCCTCTAATTACTTTTACTGTAATCATTCACACAATTAGAGGTGTTTTTCACTGATAATGTAATCAAAACACAGCTATCTTGTGTATTCAGGGAGAGTAAAAACTAAGTACTCATTATCCAAAATGCTTGGGACCAAAAGTATTTTAGATTCTGGATACTGGTGAATTCTGGACTATCTGCATAGATCCTAGTGGATAAGCATCTCTAATTAAAAAACTGGAAAGCGGGGCGTGGTGGTGCATGCCTATAATCCCAGCACTCAGGAGGCTAAGGCAGGAGGATCGCTGTGAGTTAGAGATCAGCCTGGGCTACATAGTGAGTTCCAGGTCAGTCTCAACTACAAGACCCTGTCTCAAACAAACAAACAAAGAACAACAACAAAAAACCTGAAAATTGACTTGATTTTTGTTTTTGGTACTGGGGGTTGAATTGAACTCAGGTCTTTGTGCTTGCAAGACAGGTGGTGGAACCCCTAAGCCAAACCCCCAGCCCATTTTTAAAAATTTTCTTTTCTTTTCTTTTTTGGTACCAGGGATCAAACTTGGGCCCTTGCATTTGCAAGGCAGGCACCAGAACCACGGAGCTAAATCTCCGACCCTGGAAACTGAAAATGCTCCAAAATCTAAAACTTTCTGAATGTCATGTCAACATCCAAAACATTTCACCTACTTTTAAGAACCAAGAGACTATTATTAAGAATATAGAAAGAACTCAAAAAAATCAGACCCCTGCCAAACATAAAGAGCCAATTTAAAAGTGGGCATCTGAAATGAATAGACATTTCTCAGACAAAGTAAAAGCAGCAAATAAACATATAAAAAATGTTCAACATCACTGGTCATTCGAGAAATGCAGATGAAAACAACACTGAGAATCCACCTCACCCCAGAAAGAATAGCTGCTATGAAGAAATCAACCACATTTATTGCTAAATGGATGCACATTGAGGCTACACTCTTCAAGTAAAATAAATAGGACACACTTAAGTAAATACGAAATAGTTTCCCTGGTGTGAAAAACTAAAAGTGTAAATAAGGTTCAAATGGTATAATTGATAGTGTGAAATAGGAAGAAAATGGCTAAAGGGGAAGTGGGAAGGGGAGGGGAAAGGAAATAAGGGAAAAGAAAAAATGTGAAAAAAAGCAAAAAATGGAAACAAAATCTTTGTAAATAGGCAAGGGTGAAGGAGGCAAAAGGAGGGCAGGGGTATGGGGAAAAGATAAGAACCAAGATATCATGTAAAGGCACAAGATCCCAATGATATATGTTACTGTATTGTTTGCTTTAAATTGTACCAGTAACCCTTCCCTTCCTATTTCACATTGTCAATTATCTCATTAGGATCTTATGTACTATTATAATTTATTTACACCAGAGAAACTATTTGGTATTTACACATGTGTGACTTATTTATTTCACTTAGGAGTATATCCTCAATATGTATCCATTTTCCTATGAATGAATCTAATTTCTCATTCTTTATGGCTGAGTAGTATTCCATTTTATAGAAAAACCACAACTTCTTTATCCAGTCTCCAACTGATGGGCAAATGGGCTGTTTCCAAGCTTTAGCTATTACAAACTGTGCTGCTATAAACATAGGTGCACATATATCACTGGGATATGATTCTTTTAATTATTTTGGAAAGAGACCCAGCAGGGGGATGGCTGCGTCAAATGGAACCTCTAGTCCCAGCTCTTTGAGGTAGCTCCATATTGATTTCCATAGTGGTTGCACCAGTCTGCACTCCCACCAACAATGGAGAAGGGCTACACAGTGAGTTCCAGAGCAGTCTGAACTATATAGTGAGACCCTGTCTCAAAAACAAAACCAACCAAACAAACAAAAACAGGGAAGGGCTGAGGGGGTAAAAGGAGGGGTGGGGAATGGGGAAAAATAAAAACCAAGATAAGTCACGTGAAGGTACAAGATCCCAATGATCAATGTACCTATACTGTATACCTAAAATGTACCAATAAATTAATAAGGATTAAAAAAAGAATCAACAGGTTCTGGTAGTAATGATAATTCACTTTTGTCATGTTCTGAAATTCACCCACATAAGAGACACTTAAACTTTTTTTTTTGAGTACCACAAAATGAAAACATTTTTCCAGTATTAGTATTAATATATTTTAATTTGCCCACCAATGTTAACTGGTAGTTTATGAGAATATAATTAGCTTATGCATAAGGTAATTACATGGACTGAGTCCAAGCTGACAAAGAATTGGTATTAATATACCACAATATATTCTAAATTTAACACGAAATAGAATCAAAAGATAAAGTATTTTTGAAATGCTGAGAATACTTCTCATATTGTAATGATTTCCTTCAGCAGCCTAATGATAAACTCTACACTGAAAAAAATGGGTTTTTTTGTACATTTTTAATTGAAAAATGACTTCATGCATTATTTTCCCATATTTGATATTGGCTATGATTAGGTTGTACTCTCAGCTTTACAGAGTAACTAAGTGACATGTTATTACATACTGAAATTTTAGGAGTCTTGGCTCGCAGAATTTCAGTTTATGTATGAGATATGTTCTTAAATTAACAAAGCAAACTATGAAGTTATTAACACTATATGTTCACTTAAGCAAAGAGATATTCTATGCATGCAATAGTGTTTATATTGTTAAAGTAAAAATAAGAAACACATTAAACATAGAATCAGATGCTGTTCAACCACTGTTACAGGTTAGATATAAAATGTCCCTACATGGTCTTGTGTGTTCAGAGGCAGGTTTTTCAAAAGTGACTGGGTGATGTTAACTACAGTGTCATCAGTGGATTAACCCATTGATAAAAATCATAATTTAATGGGATTATTGGGAGGTAATAGAAATTTAGGAGGTGGGGCCTAGTTGAAGGGAATGGGTCATGTGCGTATGACCGTGGGGATTGTATCTGGCTCCTGGACCCCTTCTGCTGGACTCTTTTCTCTCTGCTTCTTGGCTACCATGAGATAAGCAGGTATGCTCTTCCATACCCTTTCATCATGATGTTTTGCCTCAACTCAGACACACAGTAATGTAATCAGCTGACCATGGACTAAAACTTCTAAATCCATGAGCCAAAGCTAAAATATTTTCTTTCAATTATGCATATCAGGTATTTTTTTGTCACAACAATGAAAAGCTTACTAAAACAACCATTAAGCCTAACTAGGCTTAAGCTCACTAGGCTTCTGTAAGTCAACAACAGAACATCAATAATTACTATAATTAATATTTACTGATCAATTATTTTCCAAGCAATGTTCTATGACTTGACATACAAAGGATCCTATCAACAATCCTAATTTGACCAAATTA